CAGCAGATGTGATTACTCATATTCAGCAGTTGTGCTTATCCTGACTCAAATGATTTTTCATCAGTTACTAAAGAAGACACAAGTTTCTGGTACATTCAGTTTTTGAAATCAGGAAGCTTAAATTATACTTCTCTTTTATATGTCCTCTGTTTGCATATATTATCCCGTATTTCAGAAGCCTGTTTATTAGTTGCTACTTTGTCACTAGTGTATCACTGAGAGATAATATATGTGTATACAAATGTATATATTTTATTTCTCATGTAATAACTTTTATTGTCTACTTCTGGGCAAATATGAATTTAAATACTCTTTGTATTTCAGTTCTAAAATGATTTAAAAGAAAAATAGTTTGGAAAACACTATCAGTCTATGCTGTACACTTATTCTTCTTGAATATTTATGTTGAAATAATATTGTAAACTTGATTTTTAAACCTGTAGATTATTTAGTAAGAAATTTAAAAATGTATCTTAATTTAAAAAGATCAATTAAAGGGAAAGTAGTAAGTACATTTTAATTTATACTTCAGAGCATAAAAGAAAAGTTTAAAGAAAGCTCTTTTTAGTGCTAACTTCCTATTAAAAGGAAGCACAGGAAAATAAATGAAATTACAACAAAATATTCAGAAGATAGAATATTTTGCAGGATAACTGATTTAACTTAATCAATAAATTAATGGTATACAGAAAAAGAAGGCAAGAGGGACAGTTCTATGTTAAAAAGATACAATACATAGTAATTTTATAATCTTAATATAGATCTTGATTCATATAATACAATTAAAACAAATTTTGAGACAATCAGGGAAATTTAAAAATGTATTGACTATTATTTGATACCATCTGATTTTTATTATTGGAAAAACTACTGCCATTATGGTTATCTTTTGGGTTTTGGTATGCGATTTGTTCTACAACATCTAAGGAGTAATAAGAAAAGAAGGCAGAATCGAAATGGATGATGCAAGTGCAATAGATGTCAATAACTCCTAGATGTGCATGATGGGCTAAATCCTTCTCACATTGCATTGGCATGGCAGTTTGTAAACAGGGAAATAATGAACCAAAGAGGCAGTTTACCTGTCTAAGAAGGCAGTAACCAATCTACACTGGGAATAGAGGAAGGGTAATAAAAAGGGTTATGAAGTATGGAGAGAAAACATCAGAGAATGTAGAATGTTTACTTTTTTTCTTTGTTTTTGGTAATGGTACTTGGGATTAAACCAAGAATCTTCACATGACCTTTAAAAATTTAAAAAAAAATTTTTTTAGACAGGGTCTTACTAACTTTCTGAGCTGAATTTCAATTTGCATTCCTCCTGCCTCAGCCTTTCACAGAGCTGGGATTATAGGTGTGCATCACCTTGCATGGATGAATGTTTATTTTTTAAACACTAACAATTTCTAACTCCTGGATAGCATCCAAAGCCAAGACCTGTGATGACACAGAAATAGCCACTGGTTCTATGTCCACTGACAAATCAAGTTTTTACTTTTTCCTTCTAGAGTAACTAATGTTTTAATGGCTCTATGCCCACTTTTTAACTTTCCTTGTAATTCTGTGAACTGCCTAACATTTTAATACTTACTTTTCCCACTGTTACATTATTGAAGTTAATTGAGGTTCAGTAAATAGCACATTTGAGAAAGTGTAATCTGATAAAATTGGACAAATGTACACATTTATGAGATGATCCCAACAGCAAGACAGTAAACATTCACCTCAGCCCTCCCAAATTTTCTCTTGGCACTTTGTCTCCACTATCCCAAGGTAACCAATGATTTCCTTTTTATCAGTATAAATTAGTTTGCATTTTCTACAGTTTATGTACAAAGATAATACAGTTAAGTATTCTCTTTGTATGGCTCCGTTCTGAAGGTAATTATTTTAACATTGGTCTACTTTCTGACTTGCATCAGGAGTTGGTACCTTAGTACTAGTGAATAGCATGCATTCTATTGTACAGGCGTACCAACATTTGTTTATCCAGTCATTGAAGAATATTTAGATTATTTCCAGTTTGGGGCTTCTAAAATTGACATTCTTTGATTACTTGAACATTTTCTGTCTTTGTGTGAATATTTGCTTTTATTTCTCTTGAGCAGTGACCAGGCTGGATCGTATGACAGGCATGCTTGAGTTACTAATTAATTGCCATAATATTTTCAAATATAGTATACAATAAGTAATATAATCCAAAGGCAAAAATCTTGTGTGTATTGAGTATATATCTGTGAAATACAATGTTTATGTAAGATGTCTCTGGCTTGTTTGTACTTCTATAAATAACAAAAAGATTTTGCTTTCAGAAAATAGGACTACCTACCATTGATTATCCAAAGTGCATCAAAGTATCATAACTATATCTCTGAATATAATATACATCAGAACAAAATCAGTAGTTGAGGAAGTCAGGGTATGAAAATAAAATCAAATGAGAGAACTGGTTAATGCCAAAAGAAGACAAAAAAACTCTTGTGCTGACATTCTGTAAAGTTTCTATTATTATATCAAAAATTACTGTTTACTTCATAATATTGAGATGAAAAGGGGAAATATAATATTATGTACAAGATTCAGTGCCTTCAAAGTATTAACTTTTTATTTTGAGAAGTGAATGCTGAAGTGAACTAACTTGATGAAGAGTTACTTAGTCTCGTTGAAAGGTCATGAGCAGGTGGGAGGAGGGGTTCTCGTTGGTTTGTGGTTAGGGTTCTGGATAGTGGCACATGGTGGTGAAAGGGGAGTGGTGGACACAAGTGGTCATATCCTAAACAGGAAGACAGGAAGTAGGCAGGGCCAGGGCTGTCCCTTTTATACAGTCCTCTTGCAGTTTCAGAACTAGCTCAGGCCCTGCAAACCTCCACCTTCTAAAGATTCCACCGTCTCCCCACCGTGCCACCCTGGAGACCACACTCTGCTTACACTGGGAGGGACAGTTAGACCATACCCAAACCAGAGCAGTGTCTTACAGTAAAAATGTTTGTTGTCATACTGAAGCAACGATAGTATTAAAATGTCTTTCGTTGGTCTCTAAAATGAGGATGGGTGAAATAGAAGTAACAGAACCTTCTGCTGCTTCCCTACAATTCGTAAGATCAGCAAAGATTCCCAGATGGTGCTAGTCAGATAATGTAAGCTGGTAATGATATATCTCATCTACGTTTGACATCCTAGTAAGGCACTATTATGGAGAAAATATGTTTTAAGTAGTTTAAACTATTATAAACAGAGCCATTTCTTCTGTACTTTGTAAAAATATGTTAGATTTTATAGAAACCCTGACCTTATTAATAAGAATTATTTTTATTACTGTCTGTTCCTTAAAATTATAGTAGTGTTTTTAAAGCATGAAAACCTCAGATTTTCTACAATTAAAAAATGGCCCTTTTTGGCTGGCATACAGTCTTCTTAAAATAGTTTTTAGCATCATGTATAAAAACCATTTGTACTCTTTTTCCTTATACTTCTTTTTGTATTCTTGTTTTCTGTTGTGTTTGACAAATTTAAAATGTAAGTAAGTGGTAGCAAATGTTACCAGAGTTAAAATAGCATGCATTCTAACAACTAGTGATGTTTTGTAGTCGTGCAAAGCTGATAAATTAGGTGCTGTTGTAGAGTTCAGCTTGAACAAATGAAAATAATTTATCAGAAAAACCAAATCAAACACTGAATCACCATAGTTTTTTAAGACTAGGCAATCAATCAAAAGTTCTAAGAGTACCTTGAGTTTTAAGAGCCTGATTGTGGATGTTTAATAATTAAGTGGTACATTCATTCTGAAAGATTTATAACTTTCATTACAAATTTTGCTAACATAAGAACTTATCAAACTGTGAAATCTAACCCAATTTGTTAAAAAGGAAAAACACTTTATATCTCTCAAAAATTAAAAGCAAAAAGTAGTCAATGTGCTGCAAATGTTGAAGTTTAAAATGCTGCCTTAAGCAAACATGCTTTTTAAAATTCATTTTATGTTATCAGTGAGGTAGCACAATTTTAATATAGTTTAATAGTTGAAATATAAAAAATAGTCATGGATACCTTACTGATTTTAGACACACAATAATTGTGACACAGTATTTAGCATACTTAGTGATATTATGGGTAATTTTTAGCAAATGGTTAAGGAAGATGATTAATATTGTTAAAATGAGAGCCATTAACACTTTATAAGACTGTAATAAAATGATTTCAATGAGAATGGGGACATAGAAGCTAATAATAAAAAATCTACATATGTGAGAGTTTTAGGAACGAATAATTATTTACTATGCTTCATTTTGATTAGTTGACCTATATTTCTTTCATTGGAGCCTTATATGTAGAGCAAACATTGAAATGGCTACTTTAACAGAACATTAAAATTTAGATTTATGAATAGCTTATCAGCCAGTAATCACTGAAAATTGGTTTGCCATTTTATTCTTGCCATGCCATTTATCTTTCCTGTCACTTTACATTTTAAGGAAACTGTCTTTGTTAGCATTTTGAAATTATGAAATTTAAATCAATCAAATTGTACGGATTTTAAAAATGAACAAATAGATACCAAGAGGTTTTAGTAATTAGTTTTTAGTAACAGTTATTAATAATTAGTGTTAGACAAAAATTTTCTACATAAAAAAGCAGCTTTATAATATATAACTTTTTTGTTTTTGTTGTGTTTTGTTTTTCTTTTAAGAAAGGGTCTCGCAGCGCAGGCTGCCCTTGAACTTTCTGTGTATCCATTGTTGGCCTCAAACTGGGAATCCAATTGCCTTAGCCATCTGAATGCTAATTATGCTGCCGTGCCTGGCTTTATAAATTTTTTAACGGTTCCCTCAACTTGAAATATTTAAATAGTAAAATATGAAGCCAAAAGTACAGACACAATAGCATTAAAACCTGTGTATAATATATTTGATAATTGTGTATAAAATATGTCTGGTTTTGTACCTTTACTGCTTCTCCCTATTTGGAGTTATTTTCATTTATTACTACTTTTATTCATTTAGGTTATTTCACAGTTGAAGATCTTGGGCAGATCGGTAACAGCTGGTTCCAAGTTTGATCGAGAAATTTGGTCTAATGAACTTTCTCCTGTCCTCAGTCTCTGGAAGAAACTAAACCAGGTTAGTAATGAGTATTCTTCACACTTCTTTTTTTCTTCATATCCTTTATCTATGTTCTACTCTTCTTCTGGAGTCTTACTGTTACCAGATTCTGAGGTTCCATAAACTCTTCTTACCTCTTGTCCTGGACAAAGAATAGGACAAGATCCATGAAAAAGATTTTATATTTATTAAAGACAGGGAAAGAAGTATGCTCTGCAGAGTGAGAATGGACCAGTGAGAGAGTTTACAGTGACTAGGAGCTTAATGGTGGGACCTTTTGTGTCTCTCATGCTTCAGGTTGATGTCAAATCTAAGACATTTTAGCAAAAACTGGCTGATTTCTTTTTTTTTTTTTTAATTTTATTTAAGGAGAAAAAGAAAAAAAAGCAGAAAAAGGGTACAAGTTATACAGATTTACAAAAAAAACTAAACAGTAGGAAATCACTAGTTAATGGATTACATTTTGTCACCTTAGAAATAATTGTTCAAGTTACAAAATTAAAGCTTATAAAGTGGACATTCCAACAGTGAGACTGCAAACAGTTCTGTTCAATGATCCAACAAAACTCAGTAATATCATTATCTATCTTATACACTTAAATATACATGCAGTTATATCGTTTAGAGCACTTTCTTTTCCTCTCTTTTGAACAATGACAATTACACATTTTGGGTTTTGTTGCTCCCACAGTTCTTATTACTTTTTTGGAAGAGAGTAGAACCAGGGTGGACGTAATAGAAAATGTAAAAGCATAATACTAGGTGATCAACAGTGGTTACCATAATGCCTCCCGCTATCTCTAATAGAATTGCCTATATCATTAGTTATAATAAAATTTGAACAAAACAGTAAAGAACAAAACCAACAAAACCAAAACATTGGAGACATTACAGGTCTTCAAAAGTAGATAATGGTAAACCAGAATGGGCGTCATAATGAATCCCACCATCTTCACTGCTGTTGCCTTAACTTTCGAACCTGGTACTATCAAGCAAAACAGAATTGAGGAATATCAGTCAAAACAAGATGGTGAGAGCAATACAGGGCTTTAAATCAAGATAATGGAAAGTCAAAGTGGGTTACTATAATATATCCTGCTATTTTTTAATTTATTTTTCCCTTAATTAAAAGGATAAAAAAAGTAAATAATAAAAGGGAGATTGAGATAAAAGAGGGCATAACAGCAAATCAGCGCAGATCAAAATATAACCATTTAAGCAAAATAGTGTTTCACCACAAGATTATCCCAACATAAAAATAGTTACCATATTGTCTCTTTCCTTGAAATCTTTGAATATAACTACATATACTGTAGCATCAAATATATCAAAACAATGTAAAACCATTTAAGAGAATGACAGTATTACAGGGTATTTAGAATCAACTAACAGAAAATGAACAATGGTTTCTATACAATCTCCTTGTCTATAAAAGATTTTGCTTTTACTATCATATATAATAAAATCCAATAAGATACCACCTGTTTAGACCAATGGAGACAGAAGAACAAAAGCTTGATGAGACTTCAAAACAAGATGATACTAAATCAGTATTACCTCTTAAGACGTCATTTTCTCCAAAATAGCTGTTCCTATCATCCAATCTTCTCTGCCTCATTTCTGTTGAGCTCTTTTTCTGTCATTAGTTGTCAGTTTGTCTTCTTTATTTTCTTGTCTGCTCCATTAATTGTGACCTCTCTGCCGCTACTTCTGGATTTTTATTATTTTTCTTTTTTAGAATATCTTGCAGTATTCTCTGTAGAGTTGAGTTGGTGGTTGCATATTCTCCTAGTTCCTCTTTATTCTGGAAGCACCATCAATTTCCAGGGATAGTTGTTCAGGATATATCAATCTTGGCTGGAGATTATTATCTTTCAAAGCTTGAATTATTTCCCCCCACGCTCTTTGTGATTTGATGGTTTGTGCTGAGAAGTCTGCTGTAATTCCATCAATTTCCAGGGATAGTTTTTCAGGATATCTCAATCTTGGCTGGAGATTATTATCTTTCAAAGCTTGAATTATTTCCCCCCACGCTCTTCGTGATTTGATGGTTTGTGCTGAGAAGTCTGCTGTAATTCTGATGGGTGTTCCCTTGTAAGTGGTCTGTTTCTTGTCTCTGACGGCTTTTAGTATTCTGTTTTTGTATTGGATTTCTGGAATTTTAATTATTATATGCCTGGGTGTTGCTCTGTTTGGGTTGTAGGTGGCTGGGGTCCTTTATGCTTCATACAACCGAGTTTCTTTACCTTTTGCTAAATTAGGAAAATTTTCCTGGATTATTTCTGTGAGTAGCTTTTGTAGTTCATTTGTTTGTGTCCCTACTTCTTCTTTTATGTTCTTAATTCTTAAGTTATAGACCCTCTTATCATCTTCTAGTCTTTGTATTATTGCTGTTTATTTCTTTGTTATTTTTAAGAAGTTTTTCATTTCATGCTCCCATATTACAAATCTGCCCTCCAGTTCAGATAATCTGTCCTTAGTTTCTTTCAAGCTGATATGCCAGTTTTCAATAGACTTTTTAGTTTCCTGGTAGTCTCTTTGAACCTGCTTCACGTATTCTATGCTTTCTCTATTTTCTCCATTAAACAATTCTCCCCTCTTTTTCTGTTCTTCCATTCCACCATCTGTTTTTTCTTGGGTGGTGCTTAGCATTTCTCTAACTATTCTGCTTATGTCTAGCTTCAGGTCATTAATAACTTCATACCTGAGCTTGTTTATGAGGCTCTCGAGATAGCGCTTTATGTCTATTGGTGCTATGTCTGCTGTTGTCTCTTTCTCAGGATTGGGGGCTGCGGACCCTTTCTTGTTGCTGCCTCTTCCCATATTCTTTGTTCCTTATATATGCAAGCATATATAGGAGGCCCAGCTTCCTTCTCTGTCAGCCCCAGTCTGATTGAATTGCGCCAGCTAGGTGTTCCCACCCACCACAGTGCACCTGGAAGTTGCAGACCAGCCAGCCCATGTAGGGCCCGCCCCTCCAGGTCAATCTACCTTCAGGAGATGAGACCTGGGCTGTGCCAGCCTACTGGGTCTCAGCCAGCAGCATCACATAGGCCAGGCACTGCTCACCAATCCCGCTTGAGAGGGGAATACGTGACTGAAGTCACTGCAGCGCCCTGTTCCCGCAAGTCTGCCCGGTCCCAGAATTTCCTCTGTTGGAGTCTCCTAGACCGTGGGAGAGTCCCAGTTTTCCCTCACTCACTGGAGGTGGATGCACGGCTCCCTGCCTGTCCCGCTCTCAATTCCGTTCACCGATTCCCGTTCTCAGAGCTTCCGTGCGTCTCTCTCCCTGCCAATCTAATGCAGACGCACCGGCGGTGGTGGGAAACCCAAATCCCGGCTTCCAATGGCGCAGGCTCCAGCTTTATCTGTTCCTGTTATAGCACCAGGATTGCATTCCCAGTTGGTTTCTCTCAGCCCAGTTCATTCTTGGGTCACCGGGGAATATCTCCTCTTGCTTATGATTCCTTACTCAGCACCATTCCTGAATTCTAAGCAGGGTTTTCAGAGAGCCTCCGTAGCTGCTGCTATCTGTCCGCCATGTTCTCCCGGAAGTCCAACTGGCTGATTTCGCACCAGAAAAACTGAAGATAGCACTTTCTGATTGATACCAGGTGCTGGACCTGGAAACTGTATTCTGCAAATGTATCCTAAACCTCCATGTTTTACAGGTAACACCCACTTGCTCAGCTGATTGGCCACATCCTAATATCTTGCTGCTTTCCCCCTGAAAGACATAAATCCTCATAATCTTTATGGGTTGTTGAGGGCATAGAAGTCTCTGTCTTCACATAGCTATTTCTGCCTGAAAGGGGCTGTGGGCCCTGCCTGTAAGGGAATTATGTACTCTCAATCTATTCTGGAATATTGGGGTTCCCTGGGTCAGTTAAAAAAAAGTCTATCAAGACAATGAGAAAAGAATCACTGTGTGTATGTCAAAGACTATTGAGCTACCCAGCCAATAGGGGAAAGCCTGGTGAACATGTCAGGAGAGCTGTGGTCTGAAATCTGGGTTACTGTCTGAAGTCATGAATGGATAACCTTTACTATTAGGTTGGGGATGCAGAAGCCAAATATGAGAAGAAGTAGTTTAGACTATTTCCTAGTTTGTCTTAAAAGGTCGACTTTGATGGATCTAGCAATTGGAAACATTATTTTTCTCTATATTATTGGTGACAAGTTTTCTAAGTTTTGTTTTCATGCTTCCTGTGGATAGTAAGCATGGCAGAGAGAGATGTTAGCTAAACTACTAAGAGCCTGAGAGCTATACTCTAGTGGGATTACCCATGTTAGAGATCTAATTAAAAACAGGTATGCAAAAACAGGGGCCCATTTAATCTGTGATAGGTTATGGGCCACTGATAACTGTACTTACTTGAACCTGAAGCAGTACTAGAGTCCTGATTTTTGAAGAGGAGCCTCAGGTCTTCTAGAGCTTCACAGGAATAACTTTTATCTTTCAGGTGGTCTTTTTCCGGAGACAGTTCAGGTGAGGCTGGCTTTGTTTTAGAAAGGTGAATTCAGCTATTTGTCTCTGCTTCCTTTACTTCAGTGGGTGTGGAAAGAATCACTGAAAAGAGGCCCTTCCATTTTGGGTTTGTTTTTTTTTTTAATTTTATTTAAGGAGAAAAAAAAAGCAAAGAAAGGGTACAAGTTATACAGGTTTACAGAAAAAAATAAACAATAGGAAATCACTAGTTAATGGATTACATATTGTCATCTTAGAAATAATTGTTCAAGTCACAAAATTAAAGCTTGTAAAGTGGACATTCCAACAATGATACTGCAAACAGTTCTGTTCAATGATCCAATAAAACTCAGTGATATCATTTTCTATCTTATACACTTAAATATACATGCAGTTAGTTATATCATTTAGAGCACTTTCTTTTCCTCTCTTTTGTACAATGACAATTACACATTTTGGGTTTTATTGCTCCCACGGTTCTTATTACTTTTTTGGAAGAGAGTAAAACCAAATGTGACATAACAGAACAGAGTCAGTCAAATCAAAAGGG